CATTGCTACCGGAAGGTCACAGCGGGGGCTGTCTGGTCGGTCTCGCTGCTCCTTACTCTGCCCATGATGCTGATGGTCACCCTGACCGAGGGGGGCAAGGCAGAGGGCAAGGTGAAGAGGATGTGTGCACCCACCTGGAGCATGGACGCTTACCGGACCTACCTGACGGTGCTCTTCAGCACCAGCATCATGGCCCCAGGAATCATCATTGGTTTCCTCTACACGCGCCTGGCCAGGACCTACCTGGAGTCCCAGAGGAACCCCCCGCACAAGGAGAAAAGCAAGAGATCCCCCCGGCAGAAGGTCCTCATTATGATTTTCAGCATCGTGCTGGTCTTCTGGGCCTGCTTCCTGCCGTTTTGGATCTGGCAGCTGGTGCGACTCTACAGTAGCTCCCTGCAGCTCACCACCCAAACCCAGAAGTGCATTAACTACCTGGTGACCTGCCTGACCTACAGCAACAGCTGCATCAACCCCTTCCTCTACACCCTGCTCACCAAAAACTACCGGGAATACCTGCGCAACAGGCACCGCAACTTCTACAGGTTCTCATCCTCCTTTCGCAAGAGGGGCTCCAACCTGCAGTGCTCCTGGGGACGGTCCATGTCTTCCAGCAACCAGTACGACTACAGCTTGGAGGCCCTGGGCATGGCCACACTGAAGGACAAGTGAGGAAGAGGAGGCACTCCGGAGACACCAGGACCAGCAGAGCATCTGGCTAAGGTAGGCCTTTGGGACCTGAAGGGTCCCAAAAACTCATTTCTGGTGGTCACTCTAGTTAGGGGCAAGAAGTTGCGTGAACACAAGTATTACGAGATGCGTTTGAATTTCCATCTGGTTTAGGGCTGTCAGGGGGGTCCTGCCGGGAGCCACCAGCCACTCAGGACGAATCCTTCAGGGTTCTGGGTGCAGAAGATGAGGTGGATGCTTTGCGCAGTTCTGCTGCAAACTCTTTTCATGCTTTGCTGAGTCTTGCCCTGCTCCAGCTTTGCGCCGTTTCTCCTGTGTGATTTCTCAGTACTATCCTCAGGCTACAGCTGGCTCAGATCTGCAATGGTCCGAAATTGTCCTGGTATTGCTTAATTTAGCTGCAAGCCTTGGGTTTGCTGTATGTACTACTGTCGTCTGTTTCTAGAGTGTGTAAAGAGACCTTTAAGCCCCTTTTTCTATTTCATTTTAGTGCACTAGAGTTTCATTAAGCTTAAAGCCTCTATTTTAAAATTGATTGCAGCAGCACTTCACACTCTGATCATTCACAAACCACAAGGTAAGCTGTCAGAAACCACAGAATTAGCTAAAAAGAACTTGTAATTTTTTAAGGTTTCTACCTAAGGTGATTTGAATTTGCCACTGATTTTTTTTTTAAAGTTGGTGCCTTTCTCAACAGTCAACAGGACTTGAAAAACTGAAAATTTACCTTGGAAAGAAAGAAAAATGTCTTACAATCCTGTCACTCAAACACCTTAGACTCTAAGAAAAATTACTGAATCCTATATCATGAGGGACGTATCATAATATCCTATATCATAAAAGGGACAAATTTATTCATGACATTTCATAAAAAGCATTTTGCCTCATTGTAGTCTGCTCATTTTCTCCCCACTTAGTGTCTTGTAGTGAACCCTCAGCACAGATACTAGAGATGCCTGTAAGCATCTAAACAATTGTAAAACCTCAGTTTATAAAATAAATGCTGATTAAAAAGTGGACCATCATCAAGTTTCCCCTCACATAGTCTCTTCACCCAGCTTGGGGGTGTATTTACCAGGGGAGAGGCCGCTGTTCCCAGCTGTTCTCTGAAGAGCTCATGTACGCAGGGATGAAGCTGGGTTCGATATTCCTCTTTTCTCTTCCGGGACAGACTCTGGGGATAGGTAAAGCACAATATGAGTTGCATAAACTATTGTCAGCAGCTAGTGATGCCCAGGGACTTCTGAAACAGCAGGCGGTTGCTTAAGGAACAGTAATTTCCACTGTCTTATGGCATATTCTGACTCCCATCCACTTGAGAGGAGTCCCACTCCAGCCCTGCAGTGTTACTGGGTTCCTGTGTCCTTGGGTGATCCTCTCGTCTCAGATGCCAAACTTTAGTGTACGCTTGTGCTAAAGCAGAGGCACAAAGTGTCGACACCGCAGCCAAGGATTGAGAGCAGAGAGCCCAGCACAGCAACACGCTGGATTTTATCCGCTCGACTAACAGCAGAAAAATAAACCCTTCAGTGCACATGTTGGATGAAGATCAGGGAAGGACGTTCCTGTGCCAGGAGTCAGGCGTTCTTCTTATAGATGCAGTTGTTGGGGTGCTTTTCATGGAGATGGAAATAAGTAACCCACCTTAGAGTTGTTGTATTGCTTTTAACCACAGGACTGTCTTCAAAACACTGGTGACCACTTTGTCATGTTCCAGTATTGTGTAGACTGCCAAGCTGGGCAGTACTTCGGCTGTGCGCATGCCATTTGCCCACCTCTGAGAAAAAAAGAAATTCCTTATGTCTATAGAAAGAAAATCCCACCCTGATTTGGATCCTGACCTGACACAGTGCTGATGTGTCTTGATTTCCATTGCTTGGCCTGAGGAGAAGGTCTTCTCCCTGAGGAGAAGGCCACTTACCCACCACAGCGTTACAAGGCTGCTATAGGATGGATGATTACCATGTATGAAATAGTTGCAAGGCATAGTGTATATCTATTAAAAGGTATGTAAGGGGAAGCAGATGATGGAAGAGCTGTTTAGGTATCAAAAAGAGCATTAGGGAATACACTTTCTGCTTTAGAAAAACCACGTTCAAACATCTAAAGCCAAACAGTCTAAAACCATAGTTATTAATAAGAAGGGAAAGCTGAAAAGGAGTCGTGCCTAGGAAAAAAGGGATGAAAATGCAGAGCAGATGAGATCTGCACTTGTAGCCTAATGTGGGGATAAGCAAACAGAAGGGTTGGATTTGGGGTACGCTTCCCAAGACATCCCATCAGTCCCCAGAAGGGATTCTGCTACTCTGCTCAGCGTCACGAACGGTGCGTAGGGGATGTGCTTTCTGTGCCACACTGTCAGGGTATTAAACACCAAAGGGTTGATGGAGGACCATCCAGATGAAATGTGAAATACTGGGTATTTGTCACTCATCAGGTTTTTCAACCAGTATGTGCTTCAGCCCGGTCCCATCCCAGCACCGCTCCTCTCTCCCATCAGGCTCTGATAAACCCGTACGAGGTTACTCTAATGAGAGAAGCAGTAAATTTGATGACACCCACAAAGCATGGCATTGGGGCAGAGAAGAGCCTGTTTAACATGCAAAACTGGCCAGCAATCAGGAGATGCTGCTGTGTGTGATGAATGACGGCTCTTCAGCAGCGCAGGAAGCACGACACGGGGCAGACCTTCGCCAACACGACTCCTCGGGAGCCTCTCGTGCTCCCAGGGGTCAGAGCTCAGTTTAAAAGATGAATTACAGAAATAACATCCCTCTTATTGTCCCATCAGACCAGTTAAGCTGCCAAAAGTCAGTAGGTTTGACTCACTTCATAAATATCCCACGAGAGCAGATGTTTTAACTGAGTTCCTCTGGTCTGTAATTGGGCAAGCCTTAACTCTGTGGGCGTGCTCATGTTTTGGAAATGAGGATATAGTCTTCGTGTATTGTCCTTTAAGAACAAAAATTAATGCGGTAGGTAGCTTTGAAGGGGATTGCTGCTGCCTGTCTATAGCACGAGTCCTGTCCAGGGCAACACAGCCTTTAAGTTCCCCGTAAGGGGCAGCTTTGCCTGCAGCTCACCCAGAGCGTTTTGGGGAGGGTGTTGGTTTGGGTTTGGTAGGACCTCAGTATTCTTAAGCACATCTCCCTGGAGTCAGTGCAGGCCACACAAAACTGCTGTAAAGCAGCTCGGGCTCTTTTCTGCGTGGGGGAGAGGTATTGCCTGTCCTCAGCACTAAAAAGGATGAGTCAGGACTCCCAAGCCCATGAGATTAAAACCACATCTTGTCTCCACAACCACAGAGGCTACAAAAGAGTTATCAAAATTGAGATAGACACATAACCGGAATCCAGATGATGGGACTTTGCAAACTCTACGTATCTTGTCACTTATGGTAAATCTGAAGCATCTCAGGCCAGGGCTGAAGTAACAACAGGAAAGTCAGTCGGGCTGTAACTAAGCAAAATGTGGTGATTTCCTTGAAAACAATTTTACTTTGGCTATTCTCCTACATTCCAAGAAGGCAGGCTATGTGTACCCTGGGATCATTTATCATACCCAAATCATTGTAATCCTGTGGTTTTTAATGTGTTTTTTATAATTGTAGATTAAATTTTGCTGCAGGTTTAGTGACACAGCTGGTTCTTCAGCCAAACGGGAAATGGTAATTTTATGAAAGGCAACAGCATTTTTGTTGTTGGGCCAGAGTTTGTCACTGCAAATCTCCATACATGCTTTACAAGAAAGAAAATAGTTTAATCACTAGAAAATCTTTTCCAACACCCCTTAGGGTTTAGGTTTTTATGACTCACAGGAAAAAAAAAAACAGACTGTGAAAGAAATGCAGTTTCATCCTGCGTGCTCTTTCCTTCCTTTGTTCTAATGTACTATCTACTGCAGCAATGGCAATTTTTCTGCTTTCACTTGAAAAGAGAAAATGCTGGTTCTTTGTGGGTCAAGTGAGAATGGTTGTTTTCCCCAGACACAGGAGAATCCGTTTGAACCTTACTGAATTTTTGCATACTTTACCTTCAATCACATATGTTTTTATCATCTTTGTCCCCGCTTTTTAAAACCAAATTTGCAATAAATGCTCAAAAGCCCCACATTACAATTTAATCAGGCGTGGGAGCAAGTCATTAACGTTTTAACTCCTATTTTAGCAGTCACTTTTGGTGCTTATTGTGTGATTGAATGCCAGGAAAGCCAGTGAAATAGAGGTGATTTTACGAGCATTCGGTACCTTGCGCGGTATAGAACGCACGGCTTGCTGCCCAGTTGCATGAACCGAGGAGAACAGGCAGGGTGACTCAGTTGATAATCTGTTCCCCCATCAGCATGATGAGAGGAGAAAGTGCAGAAACTTTTCCATGAGGCCATGGGAGCAGGTAAGGCAGTAAGGCAGCACCGGAGGAATCCTGCAGGCAGCCCCTGAAAGTCAGATGTCTTTGCGGGGAAGTTTGGCTGGTTCGGGGATGCTCGGCTCCTACCGTTCCTCTGGTGGCAGCAGCAATCTGCCTTCCCTCCTGAGGGCTCAGGAAGAAACCGTGCTTTTTATTTTAGGCTTTAAAACATAGTAGTTGCACACAGTCAGGGCACAACCTAACTATGTAATAGCATTTAATATCTTTAGAGTATAGTGTTACTACAACATCTGAAAGGGAAAAATCTGTCGTGAAGAGAAATCCTACTTCAAGTGCTAACTTTCCTCTCCTGCTTTTCTTTCTATGCCGAACCCAGAGTAACTGTATTCCTGTCATTTTGCACAGCGTCCTCACTGCCAGCACCCACAGAAACACCCAGAGCTGGTGACTAACTACAGTTTAGCCCAGCTGGGGTTTTTTTTGCCTTACAATATTAGTTGTTACTGTTAGGTTCAAGTTTTTCTGGGGAACTGGAGAGACGTGGAGTTAATTGCTGTGGCTTACAAGAAATATATTGCCTTGTCTTCAAAATTGTAGCAGAAGCTTCACAGGATA